AGAATTGAAGTTACGAATCATTCTATTCCAATTTTGAATAAAATCATCAAATAACATCTATGGATAAACAATTTTTTTTAATGGAATTTGACACACGTACATTTGTATCGGCGCATTCTAACATTATATTCACGCACGCTGACAAAGGTCATGGTTACTATGAATAAAGACACATACATGAATAAAATGAACACATTATTAGGACTCAGACACGTATGTTCCTATTAAGAAAGATCCTACCAAGAAACTTACGACAGCTTTAAGGACTTATGCTCACTAAATGGAAAACGAAAGGTTATATCAATGACTTTAAGTACAAAGCGTTATATTACAGTGACGGATTACTTCCGAGAGTCTATGGATTGCGGAAGATTCACAAACCTGGTTGTCCTCTCAGAATTATTGTCTCATCGATAGGCAGTCCGCTATATTCATTGGCTACATACTTGCATAATATATTATTTAAGACTATTCCTAAATCAGTTACATCAAAACAGCTTTCAATTAGTTGAAAAATTAAAAAGATTATACATCACAAGTGATCATAAATTAATTTAATTAGACGTTACATCACTTTTTACGAATGTTCCAATAGAGATAGAGGTTGATTGTGTAAATGAGCAATAGAGTTTTATTTCCAAGGATTGCTCTCTGCCTAAGAATGAGTTTTTGGAAGCGATACGATTTGTTTTAGATTCTACCTTTTTTTCATTTGATAATAAAATTTATAAGCAAAGCTTCGGCACTCCCATGGGCTCTCCTTTATCACCTGTAATGGCGGACCTGGTAATGAGGAGATTAGAGACGGTGTCCTTGATGTCATTGAATCTGGGTATTTTGTTTTATTATAGATATGCAGATGATATCTGTACCACGGTTTCTCCCTGCAAAATTGATATTTTACTACAACAATTCAATTCATTTCATTCGCGTCTTCAATTCAATAAAGATATAGGGGGAGATAAGATAAATTTTCTGGATATCACTATATCTATCAACAAGAATCATTTTATTTTTGATTGGTATCGTAAACTAACCTTTTCAGGAAGGTTTCTAAATTTCAACTCAAATCACCCTATTTCATAAAAGAAAGGGACAATTTTCTCGCTAGTTAACAGAGCTTTTCTTCTTTCTGACTTTATGTTTCATACAAAAAATTTGACTTTTATTATTAACATTTTATTAGATAATGATTATCCATTGACTTTTATTTTTGACACAATTAATCAACGTATTAAAACTTTAATTAAAAATAGATACACAGCACATAAAGATTTGGTTGACAATGTCTGTGCGAACGAATCTGTTTCTTGGCTTACTATATCATTTATTGCTCTTCACACGGAAAAATTTAAGCGATTCAATAAAAATGACATCAGGGTATCTTTTCATAGTTTCTTAATAAAATGGGCAAATATATAAAAGTCCAGAAGGATAGGTCCCCATACATCGAAGAGTAATGTAGTCTATAAGATATCGTGCAATAATTGTGCTGCGTCGTACGTTGGACAGACGGGCAGACAATTAAAAACCAGAATTACAGAACATCGTAATCATGTTAGACATAACACTTCTGTCCGTTCTGTCATAACGGAGCACAGGCTACAGTATGATCATAATTTCCAATGGGATAATGTTAAAATTTTAGATGAAGAGCCCTTGCTATAAGAAACGCTTAATTTCCGAGAAGCTCAATATTAACAAGCAGAAAAATAGTTTGAATTTGTTGAGAATACAAGTATTTAAGTTCAGCGCGTTTCTGTTCTCGAGTGTACAGACCAATACTTTATGCGTGACTGTACTGTACACGACACGAGCGCGGCTCGGAAAACTTCGACACTCATTGTAACCGACATCCGTTTGAGTGATCCCTCTCTTCAGTCTCAGCTTAAACTCCGATAGGAGAGGACAGCACGCTCGCGAAATATATAATTCACTTTACAATAAACTACGTTTAATTATAAGTTCTATAATTAATTACTGGCTCAACCCATCCAACCACGCTCTGCTAATCAAGAAATCTTATCAGAATTTACAAACCGAAGGTTTTCATAAGGCATATATACCTTTTGTAAATAAAGTTTGACTTTTCGATACTGATAGTTCGTCTCTTCTCTCAGTCCGTGGTGATCTGCAGTAGCGAGCGTACATAATAATCGACATATAATGTCCGTCTTACACATCTGCGTTCCACCTTTCTTTATATATTCTAAAACTTTTTTTATATTCTTATATAGACACACTTGTTTGAATAATTTACATATGAATTTTGGTGAGTTTTTATTTCTTATTAGATTTCCGGTACGTTAATTTATTTGCGTGTACTTTTTGTAAGAATTCTTTTTATCTTTTTTATCAACTAGAGCTTTTCCAAGATATTTGAAGTACATTTGGTTGTTCAATCGTACGGAAATATTCGAGTTCTACATCAAGACTCACCCGAACTGTGAATGTAATGAATATGCGAACATTTGCGATAATTGATTTTGCACTACGATTTTTTCGATATGTTAATGTCTGTGGACTCAATCCGGTAGCCGAAACTTGTAATTTATTTATATTTAAACTGAGTTTTTATTTATTTTTTATTTTTTATTTTTTTTATTTTACTTTTCTTTATTTGTAATTTATTCTTTTGATTGTATGACTTTTTTAAAGAAATGTGTTGACTCTTACTTTGCCCTTTATTTATTGTTATTTAAAATTAATAAAAATAAATTGTAAATATATTGAAAAATAAAGAAAAAAATATAAAGAAAAATTTAAAAAAAAATTGAATTAACTTAAAATGTATATTTGTATAAAGAAATATTGTGTAATTATATATCTATGAAAATATTATGAGAAAACTGATATAAAAGAAATATATATACATATAATGTTCAAAAAATAAGTTAAAATACAATAAATAAAATAAGTTTAAAATACAATAAATAAAAAGAAACTTTTCTTGCTCTTTTTATGTTACTTTTGTTCATTTTTTCACTTTATCACTTTTTCATAAAAATTAGACCAATCTCTCGAGATTTCTCACACAACATTTCACCAAATAGACAATGCACGTAATACTTCTCTCTAAATTTCTACTCTGAACCATGTATGCTTGAAAGACAAATGTTTAAGTGAAACATTGAAATGCTTATTTAAATAGAGAAAGAAAGAGGGAGAGCAATAAAAAAAGGAGAAAAAGAGACGGGGCAACTTATTTATTTCACGCATGCGCACTCCATTTTGGTCAACATAAAATCAGAAGAGTTGCGCTACTGTATATACTGTATCACAGTACTCGGCGCGCGCATGATCGAGTGGCCAATCAGGCTTCGAACCGATGGCGTGTTAGACCCACGGTCAATAAGCATGGAAAAGAAATGCGTATGCAACTTCGAAGAGAAAGTGGAACGAACTTAAAAAGTAAACATAACGGAAAAATATAGGTTAGGTTGATTCTTACAGTATAGCTCCATGTTAATTACTCACTGATCAATAAATACATGCAATTGATATATATTTTTATACTGTCATTTTATATTTTTTTATTTTAATTGGATTTATTTAATATAATAATTATTTTGCCTTACAGTTATTTTAATTTACATTAATAAATTATGTCGAAAGCGATACCCCTTCCCATTAATCATTTTCTCGAGCATTGTCATCTTACACTTCGACAAATTAAAAGTATGTTGCTTCTTTGTCAATCACACTACATTCTTTTAACTTTTATATTTCATGACTATTACGTTAACATCGAGTCAACATTAGATCTGTTTTTTATTGCTGCACTTTCTGAACTGGTACACACAAATGCAATAAGTTGAAGTGAAATAAATATACATTTGTTTCACTTCAACTCATTGCACCGGTTCAGAATGCAGCAATAAAAACAGACCTATTAATTAATAGCGTTTTCTCTTGGCTGCACTATCGCCCACTAGTGTAACGCTTAGATAGTGTACCGTGTTTTTATGGCTGGTGGTAAGCAAACTCATTCGATGTACCGTGTTTCCGTGACTACGGTGTAGTGTAAATTTTATACACGAAGTGGGATTTTGCTATACCGTTTCAAAGAGTAGAGCCAGTGTGACATTTAAAATTTTTGAAAATGGAAGTCAAGCAGGAACAGGGTTTTAATGCATTAATGATGTAGTGTATACCACTCTAGTATGGTGTAGCTGGGTGTACACGCAATTGATGCAGTGCAAGGCTGCGCCTAGTGTAAACGTTTTCCAAGAGAAAACGCTATAAATTATCTAAGCTTCAATTATTATCGAGAAGAGGCTCCGTAAGTTTTCGCTCGGCCTACAGACTCATTTTCATCGTCTCTAACTGAATATAACAATTATAATCTTAATTTGAAGTTGGCAGGACAGGTCGCTTGTTATTGGTATATTCTTTTAGATCATCCAATCAGCATTTTAGATCTTGAAGAATACATCAATAGCAGCGAGCGCTGTTGATCACGCAACTGTTGAGTCCACTGAACGCAGCTAGTGCTACCTCACTCTAGCTCAGCGTCTTCACACGGCACATAACATTGCGCTGATACTAAGTAGTACAAAAAGTCGAAATTGTCGATTACTAGCACGAGTTCTGATTCGCAACTGCTTTTCCGCTTTCTGCTTTTCCGTCAAAGTGTGAACGCGCCCTGACTCTACTTGATTTCTACCCCCACCACTTCTATCAGTGGTCCATTCTATATGTCGATAGATATTGCTGATAGAATTAATCACCGATTAAAATTAATCAAAATTAATTGAAGTAAAGTCAGGTAAAACTATACTCGTTATTAAATTATCGATATTCTCAAAGCTATCAATAGCTTTTGATAATAAAAACTATCGATAGACTATCGATGTTTAGCCAGCATTAATTGGCAGTCATGATCATGTTGGCAGTCATATGATTGATCGATGCGCGTTTCAGTTTGTCACGCCTGCATTTTTCTATTTGTTATGTATAAATTATTCTGTTAAGTATCTATTTGATATTTCACCTGATAAATTTGAGCTTGAATTTCAGTTGTCACCAAAAATGGGTAACAGGTCAAGTCTTCTTTTACGCGAAGATGAAATAGCGCAGATACAAAATGCTACTGGTTGCAAGTATCCGTTTATCTATTCATTCCATACGAATTAATCTATTTCGATAGTTTCGAAATTTATTTAAATAATTTTTAATAAAACAAATATTAGTGTGATATTAATATTGGCACTCTCTATTACAGTCACACCAAATCAAATCGAACGTTTGTACAGCCGCTTTACAAGTCTGGATCGCGGAGACTGTGGAACACTTAGTCGAGAAGATTTTCTCAGAATCCCGGAATTGGCGATAAATCCTCTTGGTGAAAGGATAGTAAATGCTTTTTTTGAAGAAAGTGGGAATGACAGAGTGAATTTCCTACAGTTTATGCAAGTCCTGGCTCATTTTAGACCTATCAAAAAAAACAGTCCCAATCGATTGAATTCTAGGCAGCAAAAGTTAAAATGTAAATATTACCGAATATAAAATAATAGATAATGGTGCCTTATAATCTAGATAGCTCATTAAGGATTTATTATTAAATATTTTTTTTAGTTGCATTCAAAATGTATGATTTGGATAACGATGATCTGATATCAAAAGATGAACTACTTGCTATTTTACATATGATGGTTGGTGCAAATATTAGGTAAAAATTAAAATTTTTTTATAATTGTCAATACATCAATAATTCTGTGATATTCTATACATATATTTCTATAATCGAACAAAACATTTACTATAAAATAATAACGGAAATCTTGTAATTTCCCTGAGTGTCCAAATAATAAAAATCCTGAGAAATCAGATGAGAATATAATAACGCAGATGTTGGAACGTGATCAGAAAAGAATGTTAATCAATGCAGATCTTGATAGCATGTATTTCTGTAAAGACGAATGTTTCGACTCTTTTTAGAGACATCATCAGCGTTAATACTATTATAGAGTGCAAAGATTACAACGCGATATACGTAGGACAAATGGGTAGAAAATTAAAAACGAGAATCCAGGAACATTGTCGACATATTAACAGTTCCTCTGACATTAGATCGGTCATTACGGATTACAGATTTTCTTTTCTCATGATTTCGATTGGGAGAAATCAAAATTTTAGATCGTGAACGTTATTTAGAAAGAAGATTGATATCTGAGATGTTACAAATGCAAAATAATAGTTCTAACCTTCAGTCTGATACAGAATTTTTACATCACGCTTATATCTTGATTTTAAACATAAATAATTTAGTATTTTAATGCTTTACTTTATTTTTGTAAACAATGACAATATATGTATGTATCTGCGACACATTTTCAAATAATATCGTTCAGTCTTAACTCTGCTGTGCCTTGACTAACTAATATTTTTATACTCTGACTTTTTATAAGTTATAAATATGTTTGCTTTATGATGGTATTGCATAAATTTTTGGACTTTTTTTATTATTATTTATTATTGTACCTAATCTCTCAGCATCAAATGATAAGTCACACATTGTCATTAGTATTTATAAATTCACTATTAACTGTACCTTTTCACATTCGTTCCAGAAATGAATTTTGTAAAATTGCAATGAAATTCACCTCACTTTGGATCTTTCAATTCTATAGTGGCTGTTATTGATGCATGAGTGATCTTTTATATGCTCTAAGAACTATATTATCGCTGATGATGACTCTAAAAAGAGTCGAAACGTTCGTCTTTATGGAAATACACGCTATCAAGCATTGATCTACATATCTGCATTGATTAACATTATTTTCTGACGCTCCAACATCTGCTTATCCAACATATGCGTTATAATCTGATCTGCCCGATTTCTCAGGATTTTCATTTGATATAAATTTGGCAATTCAATTTGGCAATAAACATATTTATTTCAGTGAAGAACAGCTAACCAGCATTGCGGAACGGACCATAGTCGAGGCTGATGAAAACGGTGATGGTATGATATCATTTGAAGAATTTTGTAAGGCATTAGAGCGTACAGATGTTGAGCAGAAAATGTCAATAAGATTTCTCAGTTAAATTGATTATGGATTTATGTAAAAAATTTATATAGAAACTGTAATATAGAATTTTATAGAAGAGTAGATGTTCGGGAAAAAATTAGTCATAAATTTTTATAATTGTGCAATATACAAACAACTTTAACTAATCTTATAATCAGTAAATAAGAAAAGGTACTTATGATTGAGAGATTGAAAGAGATTTATATAAAATATATAATATAAATTTTGGATTTTGTAAGAATTATGGGAATTAAAAAAAGAATGGTAAATGTGTGTACGTATGCGTGTGTGTATACATGTGAATTAGAATTTGTTTAAATATATAAATAAATATATATAATTATCTATGAATTAAACATGTGTAAGGAATAAGAATTAATACTTTAATTTTAATTAATTTAATTGTAAAATATGAAAAAAATCTATTTTAAGAAAATTAAAATCAAATTAACAAAATATTTTAAAAACTGTTTATATTAATACTTACCTTATTTGTAAATCGTCTAAAGTTTATATTACTTGTTATTATACACTATTCATAAAAATTAGAAAAACACTTAATTTTTTTATTAAAAAATAGACAAAATTTAGGCAGCTGTAACTTCGTAAAAAATGAACGAAATTTGAATTAACAAAAAAAGAGTTTTAAAGCTTGAAATCTATTTTTGGAAAATTATTCATTTTTTTTTCTGTGAGTTTAGTAATTTGTACATATAGAAAACCACGAGCTCAACTAAATAAAAAATCTTTAGCTCACTTTGTGGACTTGTCACGTACGTACAAAAAATCTGCGAAAATCAACTTTCTTGTGTAAAAATTTAGTTTTCCCTACAAAATCGTTTTTTTTTAAACTACGATTTTTCGTTACTGAATTATTGCGGATCGAGTAAAAAATGAGTACTTTGATTTTGATTGCTCATAACTCTCCGTTAAAAATCATTGTATCGCAACTTTAAAAAAAGATTCTTGAAGCTAGAACTTTGCTCTATTTAATGATGTAATTGCCAAATTTTAAAAAAAACACGTAAACATGATAAAAAATGATTAAAGGTATCGTAAAAATTAACAACTTTTTTTTTTATTTTTACTCTGGAAAAAAATATGTGAATCTACAACAAAAATTTATTCTTCACGATTTTTTGTGCTTTTAAGTATTCTGCATTTACAAAAAGTTTACCGAATAGCTATGAGATCTCTTTCGTGTTGGCCACTATGGTTTTATGATGCGAAACGTACAAAAAAACTGGAAAATTGCTTAATTTCAATGTAAAGAAAATGGACAGTAAAGTTTAATTAACGTTGAAAAATCAATTTCCAGTGGCCAAATAGAGTTATGAGCAATCAAATCAAAGTACTCATTTTTTATTCGATCCGCGATAATTCAGTAACGAAAAATCGTAGAAAAGTTAAAAAAAAAACGATTTTGTAGGGAAAACTTCAAATTTTTACACAAGAAAGTCGATTTTCGCAGATTTTTTGTACGTACGTGACAAGCCCACAAAGTGAGCTAAAGATTTTTTATTTAGTTGAGCTCGTAGTTTTCTATGTGTACAAATTACTAAACTCACAGAAAATAAAAAAAAATGTAAATAACTTTTCAAAAATAGATTTCAAGCTTTAAAACTCTTTTTTTTCATTCAAATTTCGTTCATTTTTGACGAAGTTACACAACTACCTAAATTTTGTCTATTTTTTAAATAAAAAATTTAGTGTTTCTCTAATTTTTGAATAGTGTATATTGATGTATTTATACAAGAAAGAATGTATATCTAAAACATTATAGGTTTTCATTTTTATTAAAGATCCATTTTTTTTCGTATCAATATACTGTAGATAGCTATTGAATTTACAAGTCTTATGTGGAATTGCTGCAATATTTTTAATATACAGATATTGTATATAATTATTAACATTTATAGAGCGATGTGTAATATTGGTACATTAACGCTCATCAGCAGCAAAAAAATTTTTAAGAACATTAACACTTTATGTTCTTGAATTATCTATGTTGACTCGCATTAAAATGACATTTGATGACCACGCTCTATCCTGAGAAGGATGAGAGGAAATCTGTGACTACTTTTTTCAGTTTCGCATCTGATGCTTCACTAATTACATTTTCTTTCGCGATGGTAGCAAGAAGATCTTGTTGAGTAGATCTGAAAAAGAATAATATATAAAGTTTGTATGTATTAAGAAAAATATTACATAAACATATTACATAAATTATATGTTATATATACCTGATGTGTGCAAGAAATTCTTTTTCAAAGCTAGTGATCTTTGTTGGGTCCATTTTGTCAAGATAACCACGTACACCACAATATATGACTGCTACTTGTTCCTCAATAGCCATAGGTACTGAAAATAGAATCGTGTCAAATGTAAATTGATTCATATCATGATCATTGCCAAATTAAAAATGTGACTATTTTACCATATTGTCCCTGTTTGAGAAGTTCCGTTAACCGCACACCGCGGTTCAACAATTGCTGAGTTGCAGCGTCCAAATCCGAACCGAACTGAGCAAAAGCTGCTACTTCACGATATTGAGCCAATTCTAATTTCATAGAACCGGCAACCTATGCAATCAAGTATTAAAGATATTAAAGATTATGCGTTTCGCGAACCTTGCAGTCCACTTCATCAAGTGAAGAGTAGCCTGATACTAAGCTTGTATCAGAAGCTCAGTATCAGGCTGCGCCTCGCCCTTATGAAGTAGCTGACTGCAAGATTCACGAAATGTTGGCATTCTAAGAATGGATCTGGACATGAAGAAAACCCGCGAATCGCACTATCTTTATATAGAAAGCATCCATGGAAGCCTCAAGAATATTATTATAGATATTTATATTCTACATTAATATTATATAATTCTTTTGGTGTTAATCATATAAATCAAAGAATTGATAATACCTGTTTCATGGCCTTAGTTTGAGCAGCAGATCCAACACGTGATACAGATAAACCGACGTTGATAGCAGGTCGGATACCTTTGTAAAACAATTCAGTTTCCAAAAAGATTTGACCATCGGTAATAGAAATGACATTGGTAGGGATATAAGCAGACACATCACCGGCTTGTGTTTCGATAACAGGTAAAGCAGTCAACGATCCACCACCTAAATTTTCATTCATTTTGGCAGCTCTTTCAAGCAAACGAGAATGAAGATAGAATACATCACCAGGATAGGCCTCACGACCTGGTGGTCTTCTAAGCAGCAAAGACATTTGCCGATAGGCAACGGCTTGCTTAGACAAATCGTCATAAATGATTAAGGCATGTTTTCCATTATCTCTGTAAAACAAACTCTATTAGTTTGCAGTAATAAATTATTTATATATA